AATCTGCGGAGAGCAGAGCAACTTGTCAGACTAAAAGCATCCTCTACATTATCATTCAGAATTCTACCGTGAAAATTCACTCGACAAAACCCAAGAATGGACCAAGGCGACTGAAGAAGAAGTTGACGTTGTCTCCTCAGTTCATGGCTCCAGAACAAGTTATACTCATAGCACGAAGAATGAGTCGGAAGTGTTCTCAACTCCTTCCCCACTCAAACCCTGATCCATTCGGGGGCTAATGACGAAGCTATGTACCTAGGGTAGGGTCATGGATCTGTCCAAGATGCCCTCTCCAAGGACATCCCTAAAAGAACCAGAAGCAGTCGGAGAGAAATTATCATCCACTCGACCATGAAGTTATGTCCCACTCGACAGCCTTGAAGACACTCGACCATTCGAACAACCATTCGACCGTCAGAAGATGTGAAGACACTCACTCCGCAACGGTCGAGATTTAAGTCATAACTTTATGGACATTTATAGCACTTTACTCCAGACGTTACCAGTAACGCTCCTCCTTTATGAACATTGAACCCTGTGTAACGGAGGGGAGCTGGGGTCCTGGCGCACTCTATATAAGCCACCCCTCTCCTCTGGGGCAAGGGTTCGCACCTTTTGTAATTCACACGCGTATATCCAGTCGACCGCCTCCGGGCTCCGAGACGTAGGGCTGTTACTTTCTCCGAGAAGGGCCTGAACTCGTAAAACTCGCGTGTACAGCTCCTCCATAGCTAGGATCTTGCCTCTACATTCCTACCCCCTATTCTACTATCAGGCTTAGAACCACGACAATCATATTTTGTTCTAAGTATCGAGTTGTAATTCTTGAGTTGTAAGTAAATAAAAGTGTGATGATCATCATTATTAGAGCATTGTCCCATGTGAGGAAAGGATGATGGAGACTATGATTCCCCCACAAGTCGGGATGAGACTCCGGACGAAAAATAAAAAAAAAGAGAAAAAAGAAGCCATAAAAAAAGAGAGAAGGCCCAAAAAAATGAGAGAAAAAGAGAGAAGGGGCAATGCTACTATCCTTTTACCACACTTGTGCTTCAAAGTAGCAACATGATCTTCATGATAGAGAGTCTCCTATGTTGTCACTTTCATATATTAGTGGGAATCTTTCATTATAGAACTTGGCTTGTATATTTCAATGATGGGCTTCCTCAAAATGCCCTAGGTATTCGTGAGCAAGCGAGTTGTATGCACACCCACTTAGTTTCTTTTTGTGTTTTCATACACTTATAGCTCTAGTGCATCTGTTGCATGGCAATCCCTACTCACTCACATTGATATCTATTGATGGACATCCCCATAGCCCGTTGATACGCCTAGTTGATGTGAGACTATCTTCTCCTTTTTGTCTTCTCCACAACCATCATTCTATTCCACCTATAGTGCTATGTCCATGGCTCACGCTCATGTATTGCGTGAAGATTGAAAAAGTTTGAGAACATCAAAAGTATGAAACAATTGCTTGGCTTGTCATCGGCGTTTTGCATGATTTAAATATTTTGTGTGATGAAGATATAACATAGTCAGACTATATGATTTTGTAGGGATAGCTTTCTTTGGCCATGTTATTTTGAGAAGACATGATTACTTTGTTAGTATGCTTGAAGTATTATTATTTTTATGTCAATATTAAACATTTGTCTTGAATCTTTCGGATCTGAATATTCTTGCCATAATAAAGAGAATTACATGGATAAATATGTTAGGTAGCATTCCACATCAAAAATTCCGTTTTTATCATTTACCTACTCGAGGACGAGCAGGAATTAATCTTGGGGATGCTTGATACGTCTTCAACATATCTATAATTTCTGATTGATCCATGCTACTATATTATCCATCTAGGATGTTGTATATGCATTTATATGCTATTTTATATGATTTTTGGGACTAACCTATTAACCTAGAGTCAAGTGACAGTGCCAGTTTATGTTTTTTCCTTGTGTTTGAGTTTTACAAAAAAGGAATACCAAACGGAGTCCAATTGACGTGCCAATTTTTGATGATTTTTTATGGACCAAAAGAAGCCCCCGGAGTAAAATTATTGGGCCAAAAGAGTCCCGAGCTGTCCACGAGATAGGAGGGCGAGCCTAGGGGGGTAGGGCGCGCCCTCCACCCCCGTGGACGACTCAGAGACCCCTGACATGAGACCGACGCCAAAAATTCTTATAAATACAGAAACCCCCGAAAATAAATCTAGATCGGGAGTTTCGCCGTCGCAAGCCTCTGTAGCCACCGAAAACCAATTTAGACCCGTTCCGGCACCCTGTCAGAGGGGGGAATCCCTCTCCGGTGGCCATCTTCATCATCCTGACGCTCTCCATGACGAGGAGGGAGTAGTTCACCCTCGGGGCTGAGGGTATGTATCAGTAGCTATGTGTTTGATCTCTCTCTCTCTCTCTCTCTCTCGTGTTTGTTGATTCGGTACGATCTTGATGTATCGCGAGCTTTGCTATTATAGTTGGATCTTATGATGTTTCTCCCCCTCTACTCTCTTGTAATGGATTGAGTTTTTCCTTTGAAGTTATCTTATTGGATTGGGTCTTTAAAGATTTGAGAACACTTGATGTATGTCTTGCATGTGCTTATCTATGGTGACAATGGGATATCACGTGATCCACTTGATGTATATTTTGGTGATCAACTTGCGAGTTCCGTGACCTCGTGAACTTATGCATAGGGGTTGGCACACGTTTTTGTCTTGACTCTCCGGTAGAAACTTTGGGACACTCTTTCAAATTCTTTGTGTTGGTTGAATAGATGAATCTGAGATTGTGTGAAGCATATCGTATAATCATAACCACGGATACTTGAGGTGACATTGGAGTATCTAGGTGACATTAGGGTTTTGGTTGATTTGTGTCTTAAGGTGTTATTCTAGTATGAACTCTAGGATAGATTGAACGGAAATAATAGCTTCGTGTTATTTTACTACGAACTCTTGAATAGATCGATCAGAAATGATAACTTTAAGGTGGTTTCGTACCCTATAATAATCTCTTTGTTTGTTCTTCGCTATTAGTAACTTTGGAGTGACTCGTTGTTGCATGTTGAGGGATTGTTATATGATTCAATTATGTTATTATTGTTGAGAGAACTTGCACTAGTGAAAGTATGAACCTTATGTCTTGTTTCAACGCATTGCAATACCGTTTTCGCCCACTTTTATCATTAGTTACCTTACTGTTTTTATATTTTCAAATTACAAAAACCTTTATCTCCCATCCATATTGCACTTGTATCACCATCTCTTCGCCGAACTAGTGCATCTATACAATTTATTATTTGGTTGCAGGGTTGTTTGAGAGAAACCATCTTCATCCTACGCCTCCCACGGATTGATAAACCTTTGGTCATCTACTTGAGAGAAATTTGCTACTGTCCTACAAACCTCTGAACTTGGAGGCCCAACAACGTCTACAAAAAAAAGGTTGTGTAGTAGACATCAAGGCACACTGCTTGAAGTCTGTACAGTAGACAAACTTATTACAGAAAGTATATATGCGGCCACCACATGAGACATATATATAGGTGTCTTACATTATCTCCTTGCAAAGCCCAGTTGAAATGTAAAATTCCTACATTTTTCTTTTTGAACTGAGATGAACATATGAATTCCCCATAACGCCTTTTTCTTCTTTCTTTTCCAAAAAAGCTAGGGTTTCTCTTGCCTCCCGCCGGCGCCGTCGCCGGTTCACCCCGTCTCCGATGGCCTTAGGGCCATGGAGGCGGAGTGGATCTCAGCCCTTGCCAGTGGGAAGGCTCCATTTTTAGATATTTTTTGAAGTTTTGTTAGAGTTTGTGTCCTATTCAGAAAGGCGAGACGGCGGCAACTCCCTGAAGATGGAACAAAGGTCTCCTCGCCTAGCCCCCGTTCCCGTGATGCGTCTAGCATCGTCGGTGGGCGTGTGGAGATGTGTTTTCGATGGATCTGTCTTTGGTGAATTTGCTCGGATCTGTTCGTCGTTCGTCCGTGTTCCTGTGTCTTTATGTTGGATCCTTCTGATCTACACCCTTCATCGGCGCAGTTGCTGTTTATGATGCGTTGATTCTATGGTACCTTAGCACGACGATCTTTCGACTGTCTGCTACAACAAGGTTTGCTCGGCTTCGGCAATGGAGGGGCGATGACAACGGTACGCATTCGGCTCGCTTGAGTGATTGTAGCCGTCGCTAGGTGGTTTACGGATTTGGATGTAATTTTTATTATTTCTAGTGTTCGTTGTACTATTATGATTGAAGATAAATAAATTAGAATTTTTCTCACAGAAAAAACCGTATGAGTTCTCATTTTTATAGTTTTCCCTACTCCGTTCCTTCAACCATATGGGTGAAGGTATACCTCCAATTCCTATCAATCAAGAGGCCCCAAAGGGAAAGTTCTGCCACCCAAGCAACAACATTCTTCTCTAGGAAAAAGTAAGCAACATAGAAGCGTATATCTACAAGTATTCACTTGCAAAGAAAGAAAAGAAATCAATTGCTCAATTTGGTTCAAGATAAAGCAAGAGCTCCCATTTCTTCCTTGGAAGCAAAAGCAATAGCTTTAGCCTTCGGGTGGGACTATGACAGCTTAGAAGCGATGCCACTGGTTTGAGGGCCCTTCCTAACGTGGGTCCGGCATGTCATTATCCGTGCGATAAACACAACCACCGGCAACGCGGCAACAACCCTACCGAATCTTTCGTAAAATGAAGAAAGAAATACCGGCGGGGTCGTTATTCATGGGCCCACTTGTCTGCGGCCCTGCGTCGAGCCGAGGGACGGAGCTCTCAACGGTCGCACCAAATCTCTCTGACACGGGGGCCCCGCGCAGCGAGTTCACCCACAACTGCCCTTCCTAGTCCTCCCACTTCTCCCCCCCGCCCAGTTCACCATTTCTCCGCCGCGGCCGCACACTCCCCGCGGGCCGACGAGGGTGAGTCCGTGCGGGAGCGCTGCGAGAGAGTGCGAAGCCCTAACCCTCGATCCCCGACCGGAAGCCGATGGCCGCGCCGTCCCCCGCCGCGTCCCTCCTGCTGGTCCTCGTCGTCGCCGCCTCCGCGGCGCTCGCGCCGGTGGCCTCCACGGTGCCCTTCATCGTCCTGCACGGTTAGGGTTCCGGGCTCCCCCATCCTCGTATCGATTCGGGGTCTGTTTGGCGTTAGGGTTTCGTCTTGAGGCTTTGGCTGGCTGGCTGTGCTCGGGCGCAGGGATCGGGGACCAGTGCGGGAACGACGGGATCGCCTCCTTCACCGATGAGCTCGCGGAGTGGTCGGGATCCAAGGGATACTGCATGTAATGGCGTCTCCCCTTCTCGCTTCCTCTTTTTCTCGCGGATTGTTTTTGTTGTCCGTGTGCGCGGTTATGTTGATTACAGCGCGTAGAAGTATTCTCTACCGTCATGCAGTTATGCTGATTATAGCTATAAGCAAATGTCGGTCTGTGAACCTTTGTGTTGGGCTTGCTGATTTGTACTCTGTCGAATTTTTTGTTTGGTGTGTTGTCTGCGTGTTAAGCAACGAATATGTACTGTTTGTGTGTGGATGTTGCGACATCCCACCTCCGATAATATGTGGTGTAAAACTTATGTGAGTTAAATCTTATGATCTGTGTTATATTATACAGCGTAAAATATTATTTTTGTTTCCATGTGAATGTCAATAAATATGGATTCCCAGATTAGTAATGTTAATCTAATTAGGCGTCTCTTGTCTGAATATCTGAGTGTAGCTTCAGAAATTAAGAGCCTGAGCAATCTATGTACCCAGCTTCTGCCACGAGATATCGCCGCTAGCTCTCAGTGCCATTAATTTATTTGAATATTAATAATTTAGCTCACGGCAGTTGTTGTCGAGTTTATTGTTGGAATTTAAACATGTTCTTCCTGTACAGGGAAATTGGGAGAGGATCATGGGATTCTTGGTTAATGCCACTTCAAGATCAGGTTGGGTTTTTACTCTTTATTTTCTTTAACTAAATAAACCGTTCCTTGTAAAAGTTTCTAAGATCACAAGGTCATCTACAGGCAAATGTGGTTTGCAAGAAGGTGATACAGAATCTTCGGTACTGCTTTTCTGTATAGTATCCAGAGCCGTCATGGAATTGGTTTTCCAGGTAAAGGAAATGGAAGAACTTCGTGAAGGTTACAGCATAATTGGCCTTTCTCAGGTGTGTTCATGCTGATGTGCTATAATTGGGTTCAGGGCAAGAATACAGTGTCATAATGTGCATATATTTTTTGTGCTATACTTTTTAGTATTACTGTGCTTGTCGTTTCTGATTTTTATAATCCAAATGCCTTTCTGAAGCTAAGTAATTATGAAGTCTGGTGATGTCCAAATTAGTGCCAATTGACTACCCGTGAATTTGGGATGTTCTGTGATAAATTCTTACTGGCTCTTGATTTAGAGAGATTTTACCGATAGTTGCCATGTACTTTCACAAAAATCAGTTACTCTGAGTTAAAGAGTTCCCCTCCTGTGCTAAGCCATCTCTTACCTTTCAGGGGAACTTAATTGGGCGGGCAGTAATTGAGTACTGCAACGGTGGGCCACCGGTGAGCGAATTTATTTGCTTGCCTTTATGCAATAATAACAGTGTAAAGCTCACCTAATTTGGTCCACTAAATAACAAAGTTAACATTTTGGCCAGCGCCCACACATGTTATGATGGTGATAGAAGATCATGATGATAGGAATACTGAAGAACATTTGTAATTTTGTTAAGTATATCCATCTATTGTATAACAAATGGTGATGCTTAATGTTTTGATTAGGTGCTTCACTTCATGAGTATGCGTATCAGTAGTGCTGTGAGACTTCTTTCAAAACATTATTTTTGTTACTCTGAGTGATGATTAGGGCTTTTCCTGTACTGTATCCCTTATAGTTTATATGATATTGTCTTCACTTCTTCTGGGGGAACTATATATTTTTATTTATTGTAACAGGTAAAGAATTTCATCTCAATTGGGGGTCCTCACGCTGGTACTGCTTCAGTGCCACTTTGTGGTGTAAGCTTACTCTGTCCTTTCCTAGTTATCTTTTATCAGTCTATTTAAAGAGTAAGCTTGCTTTGTGGTGTAAGCTTACCGATGGATTAATACTAGTAATAAACAAGCACTTACGACTTTCTAGATAGCTACTGACTACTGGTAGACACCTCATCCATTTGGATGGATTATTCTCTTTCATCCAAGATAGATGTTGATTTAGCTCCATGTAATAGAATATGCTAAAGTGCGATAAAAGCTAGTGCCAAGTTTTCCGCATAGTCCCCCCTCCCAGGAAAGAAATCTTCATTCAGTATACACATTCAATGGGAAAAGTTATTTGAAAAAAGAACGTAATGAACAGTATTTGCAAACCAGAACCTATGTTACTTGAATGCCATGAAATTTTGTTGGTCTACCTCATTTTTTTTTCTTAATCATGTGCGTGCTCACTTTTTATGATTTAGTCTTCCTTCTCCATGACTATCAAGTCTTAACATTTCGCTACAGTTGTCTAAATTGTCAATTTGCTGGTATAGATCTCAATGGAGCTACTTGCATGTAGAGTACAAGCAAACACTTCCTCTTTCACTTAATGCATGTAACCATCTGCACTTGTATCTGAGTGCACTAGATGTTTAATGTCATCTACCCTATTGGTTCATGTGAGTTACAAATTATGAAAAGATGAGGCAATGTTACCCCACAACAAGATCATTTTCTCATGGTATCAAATTGGCCAAAATTTATATTCCAATGCTGTAGAAGCAAAAGCAACCAAACCATTGTAGGTTAAGCTAGTTTGGCGTGAGTCACTAGAGCAAACAGCACTGTATATCCTCAATTGTTGGTCAACAGGTTAGCAATGGAATGAAAAGAAAATCTGTAGATTGTGAACTTATGTTGCTTTCACAGTGTCCCGCTGTTTTGTCTGTGTGTGGGAACATACATACCTCCAATCATTTTTGCATAAAGTATAATCATGTAAATCTTTCATTAATGTTGTTGCTGCTAAACTCATGTTTTCTAGTATTATACTCCCTCCGTCCCAAAATAAGTGTCGCAACTTTGTACTAACTTTAGTACAAAGTTGTACTAGAGTTGAGACACTTATTTCGGGACGGAGGGAGTATTTAGCTGTACAAGGAACTTGAATACTTTGGGTAATGATATTGATTTGTACAGTTTCCACCTATTGTTACTGTCCTATTAAATATTTTCTCTTTGCAGTCTGGTTTTCTTTGCGTTCTTGTTGATGTGCTGATTCAACTGGAGATATATTCAAACTATGTGCAGGTTAGTATGTGGTGTCTGTTATTTGGTCACAGTTATCATTATTAGACATGACACATAATGTTTCTCTGAATAACTTGAGGTTGGTAAAATTACAGGCACATCTTGCCCCTAGCGGTTACCTAAAGATTCCCACTGTGAGTTCTTTATGCTATATTCGTACTTGCATATCCTGGCCATCAGGATCACTGTTTGAATTCAACCTATTTACTTGTACAGCTGTGTTCTGTGATCCTAAATGATACCTTCAATGAATACTTCTATCCTATGATCTGCTAAATGACAACCAATCTCCCTTTCTTTTTCAGGATATGACAGATTATTTGAAGGGTTGCAAATTTCTTCCGAAGCTTAATAATGAGATACCAAGTGAAAGAAACATTACATATAAAGAAAGATTTAGCAGCTTGGAGAACTTGGTACTGATCATGGTATGTTGAGCAAACATATACTATTCTTGTTTTGCCCACTTACACTCAAGGGTAGTCCCTACATTCCAAATTAATTGGAGCTCTAGCTTTGTCCCAAGTCAAACTTCTCTATATTGACCAAGTCTACAGAGAATGTGCTAATATCTAGACTAGGTCAAACACAACAGTTTAACTTAGGACAGAGCTACAACTTAAATTTCATTTGTAAGAGAGGAAGTATGTGGTAGGGATCAGAGCAGAACTAGGTTCTTAGTCAATTTCATTTTTGTTATTTGATATTGGGCACTATTGTACCCCACTCGTTGTACTCTATAGGGAATAATCAGTAAATAAAACTGCTCTTGGTGATATTCAATATGCAAAACAAGAGTTGAACATATAATCAATACTCAACAATGATAGTACATGATATAACAAAATGGTAGCTCAAAAATCTACTGCCTCAGATTGCCCTCTTTGTCTTGTGCATTCCACATTGTGAGATACTTTGTCTGCTGAGGAGCTGACGCTTTGCCTTTCCAAACTGCTAAACAGTTTGAGGACGATGCAGTCCTGATACCTCGCGAAACGGCATGGTTTGGTTATTATCCTGATGGCGCCTTTAATCCAGTGCTTCCTCCTCAAGAGGTACTGTGCTTCTTCCAAATTGCATCGTTCTTTGTACCGAAAAGTACTTCATTATTCTTCGCATCGTATCAACTCCTTGAAAAGCAACTTCAGATTTGTAGTGCATAAATTGGGGGCCATAAGAAATTTCTGGCGATTTCGTATGGTTAATATCATTTGTGTCTGACTGCTAAGAAAATGCCTTGTGTGTAGACAAAGCTATATACCGAAGACTGGATCGGCTTGAGGACTTTGGATGAGGCTGGGCGTGTTAAGTTTGTGTCGGTGCCCGGAGGTCACCTCCGCATATCAAGGAGCGACATGAAGAAGTACATAGTGCCTTATTTGACACCGTCATGTGGATCATCCAAGCAGAGTATTCGTCGAATCTTGTCATACTGAGGATAGGTAAACCACGCTTGCGGCTGTAATTGTGCTTGTTCTGGGTCTTTATAAGCCCAACCCATGTCTCTCTGCATTATTACCTTATAAATACATTGGCGAAACAGACTGGAACCATAACGTTGCTGTGTTCGGGGTAAATAGACTAGCGAGGTTGCAGCAATGGTCTCATCTTTCGGTCATCATGGAATCAGTTTGAGCAAATGTTGTGACTGGTAGTTTGATCCTAGCATGTGGTCCAGCTACCGTGGAAACGGAATATCATAACATCAGTTCTGTACGTAAATAATAACATAAGAAATATATGGTGGAAACATTGTTTTCTGAACCTTTTCTATGCAAATGTCGTTCCTACATCCCCGTCTATTTTTCCAATCTCAAAGGAATCTTAACTCATTTTTAAGGCGGCTGCTACAAATCAGCCGGATGATTTTTCTAGAAAATCATCCGGGTAGCTAGCCGTCCGATCTGGGCTGGTTGTCGTTTGATTTCACCAGCAGCTTGAGTCTAACTCTCTTGTCATCCGGTTCAATTTGACACCCCCGCATGGGCCGCGTCTCTGACATTCCGTTGCGGCAACGAGGCCGTGCTACTGCATGTGCACTCGCTGAGACGCGAGCAAGAGCATCTCCCTCAACTCCGGTGGCCGCCACCGACGTGCTGCGTTGCAACATCACTAGTGATTGAGCGGCGCAGCACCCGGCGCCGCTCCATTACAACACCGCCGCCCGACGCTGCTCCATTGCAGCGCCGGCGAAGCTTCAATGGCCCACGTTGTGCTTCATTGAAACTCCGATGGGCTTCAATGCAACTCCGGCGGCGCTTCCTTGCAGCCACGCATGCTTCACTGCAACTCCGATGGTCCCGCCGATGCTTCATCGCAACTCCGGCGAGCCCCCATGTGCTTCACCAGTTGTTGCAACCCGTCGGCTAGCCTGTAGCAGCACACCGTCGGGGCCGCCATGCTTCACTGCAGCTCCGGCGGCCCTCTCGCTGCTTCATTGCAACGTCGACGAGCCCCCCTGCTTCATCCGCTACACGCAGCTCCCGCCGGCCATGGCAGCAGCTTCGCCCTAGCCTAGCCTACAGCGGCGCGAGGTGAGCGGAGACAGCCATATGCAGCCGCGGTGCAACGACAGTAGGTGACGGCGGTTTGTAGCAGCGGTGCAGCAACGCGAGGTGATAGCGGCGCCGGTCTACAGCGACAGCGCTGGCGCTGGCGCTGGTGTGTGGTGCCGTGTGCTGGAGGAAGAAGAAAAAGGAAGAAAGGAATGAGCGGCTCAACGCAACTGAGGAAGAGATAAGGTAGGGAGAGAAATAAGCGGCGTCTGGGGCTCATCGGACGCGTGGCGCACGTTGGAGACGGCTTACGCAGGGAAAAAATCATCCGGTTTATTTAGATATTTTCCCATTTTTAAAGTTGTAGAGATAGAGATAGAGGTATATCTCTCTCTCAAAAAAAAAGAGAGATAGAGATAGAGCTAGAATTAACACGTGATGATTAGGTAATGTCAGTTTGCTAATGACGGTTGGTTGTGAGATACTACGTCGGCTGATTCCTAACAGTACCGTCCGGAAAACAGACAGGAACGGTCGTGCTGGATCGAGAGACTTGTTGGGGACAGATAGGTCTTGGATTTCCGTCCGAACGATCGGGCAGAGTTAGATCTGGTTTCCTTTTTTTTAATGATCGCCAGGCTTAGTATATATATACTCCTGTGTACAGACGCTGGTATTACGTAGTACTTCTGTAACCGATTGCAGATCACGGAAGACCATGGCCAGCCGCTCGTCCCCGACGGAATCCATCACGGAGCTGTTCGCGATCCCCGGCTACTCGAGGCTGGCGCTGATGCCCCCCGGAACCCGGTCCACTTTGGTCCGGACCTTTCGCTTCCGCAGCCGCGTCTGGCACGTCACGGTTAGTCCGTCTGTTTTTAACAAGGAAGTGCCCATGTACGTCGATGTCATCGTTTTAGCGGTCACCGGACACTCTCCCTCGGGCATCACCGTCTCCATAGAAATCCTAGACGACAGCTGGGAGCGCACCGTGTTCCACGAGGAGGAGACACTTAGCGGCGGCAACTGGTTCAAGCACTTAGGGGTCAAGATGACTGCGCTAGAGGAGGCGTCTTGCATCCACAATGACAACATCCCTGTGAGGTGCACCCTCACGTACGCGAAGAAGCAAAAGAGAGGGCAGCGGCAAACAACAACTAGTTCCAAATGGTGGCACCGGCTTAGAAACATCATCTTTTGCGGCAGCAAACAGCAAGTGGGTCCAAATGGTGGCACCAGCTTAGAAAAAGGTTGTCTATAAATTCAGTAGCGCAAATGAGCAACTTTGACCTTAAGACGAGCTTCTCCTCTATTAACATGGGCGCCACTTTCATCTGTCGCCATTGAAGCAAAAAAAACTCACTAGTGGAAGCTTTGCAGGTTGCCGGTTGCAACAAAATCAGAGCTACGGGGGTTGGTTGAAGCAAAATCGATAAACGCTTCCAGCAAAATTGAACACCCGTTCCAGCTTTTGTTTGGTCGGTTGTAATATTTTACGGCGTCGCCGGCGAGGGTGTCAAGAGCTCCGGTAGGCGGTTGAAACAAAATCGAAAAACGCTTCCAGCAAACATGAATGCCCGTTCCAGCTTTTGTTTTCGCTGGTTGCAACATTTTACACTTGAAAACATCTTGTTGTAGCAAAAGTCAGGCGCCATCGCTGCCGGCGACGCTCGCCGTCGTCCTGGTTACAACAAAATCGAGCGTCAGTGCTAGCTTCCTCAAGACCAG